ATATATATATATATATTTTTTTTTTTTTCCCCTTTTGATTTTCCAGTATATATACTTTTCCACTTGTTTGTGGTCATTTTAAAATGCACAAATGGCAATTTCGCAACATTTTTACCGTATATTTTACGGATTGGTATAACATAACATTATAAGGTAATGCTTTACAATAAGGTTCATTAGTTAACAGTAGTTAACTACTTAAACTAAGAATGAACAATACTTCTACAGCATTTATTAATCTTAATGTTAATTTCAGCATGTACTAATGCATTATTAAAATCACATGTTGTGTTTGTTAACATTAATGCACTGTGAACTAACGTGGACTAACAATGAACGACTGTATTTTTATTAACCAACGTTAACAAAGATGAATACATACTGTAATAAATGTATTGTTCATGTTAATTAATACATTAACTAATGTTAACAATTGACACCTTATTGTAAAGTGTTACCCATTATAAAAGTTTCCTTGACTTTAAAATGTTATTAATTTCATCCGTTCAACTTTATTAAATTATTTTATTAAGAGTTTTACATTTATGCTTTATTATACGTTTTTGAAATACACAGATAATTTAAAGCATTTAAAATAACTAGAAATAAAATAAGTAAAAACTATAAATTGACAAGAAATAAAATTAATAGAACCTTAACTAAAAATTAAAATGAAATGTAAAATAAAAAAAATAAAAACGAATGCAAAATATTAATACGTAATAATGAGTGATACTAAAATAACACCGCCTGACACGCATGACTAAACAAACAGGATGATTGTCACGTGTATAAAAAAAAAAAGTCATAAAGCATGAAGTCATAATTTACTATATATTATTTACTTTATATTTTTAGTATATAATTAAATGATATACTAAACAATAATTTAGATATGTATAATTATTATTAATTATAGCATTATTTACTATATATTTATATTTTAGTATATATCAAATTAATTTTATATTATATATATTTTTTATTTTATTTGCTCTGAGTTCAGACATTTGTACCCATGCAATTTAATGCAGACGGTTTTGAAGAAGGTTTATATTTCATTTATACTTGATTATCCGTCACTAGAGAAAGACGCTCTTTGGCAGCACAAGGGTGTAGTTCCTAAAGCTACCAGCAGGGGGGGTGAGGCCTGAGTTACTGTTCTTTAGCTGGACTCTGGAGGGACTGTTTTCATCTGTGTTCGGTGGATCTCATTAGGTTAATTAACTGACACAAAACAGCCTGTAAGATATGACCGTTAACGCTCATACAGTCGCTCTATATAAAACAAGAGCGCAATTCTCCTGGGAGCCTGCAGGGCCTGCTGAACTAGAGCTAATGCACACATCAGATATCCGTCTCACAACAATTACACCAGTGAACACGGAGACCTGCAAATAAACCACCGGATCTGCAGAATTCAACACCCTACAGCCATTTACTTAGACTACAACACACATACAGACACTCCCTCACGAATAAAATACAACAACTACAATAAAAAAACAAGTACCATATTTTATGGCAAAGCAGTCACACATGACTTTAAGTTACACTGGGGCAAAGTTGCATTGTTAAGACTAAGAGAGAAAAACAATTACAGATAAGCTACATCAGTGTCAGAAATAAAAGGTTTACAAACATTATAAACACTATACACATGTATTTTAGTTCTTCTCGCTTCACAACAATTGTGAATTGGTATTAAGAAATGTAAAAAAAGTATATAAAGTATAAACAACCGTTATTATAAATGCCAAACATAAGCAAATTTATTAAAGGAGTAATTCTCCCAAAAATGAACATTTTCTGAAAATATGCTCACCCACAGATCATCCAATGTGAGTTTGTTTCTTCATCAGATTTGGAGAAATGTAGCACTGCATCAGTGTCTCAGCAATGGATGCTCTGCAGTGAATGGGTGCCGTCAGAATGAGAGTCCAAACAACTGATAAAAACGTCTTAATGCTGGATTTGTTTCAGCTTTTGTCTTCTCCAGATGTTAACTGATGGACTGGAGTGCTGTGGATTACTTGTGGATTATTGTGATGTTTTTATCAGCTGTTTGGACTCTCATTCTGACGGCACCCATT